AGATAGACAGACAGGCACACGGAAAGTCACAGAGGGAGGGAGAGTGACTGAGAGAGAGAGAAATAAGAATAAGTGGTAGAGGGTTATTTTGTAATTCATAACTATTAACTTTCAAATCGTTTAGGCATATGTACCGATGTCAGTACCAATACAAATGTGTCAATCAATGTGTATCCCAATATTGTCCATCTGTGTGAATCCATCCATCCATACATACATACACACACACACAAACACACACATATGTGTGAGGATATATATATATATATATATATATATATATATATATATATATATATATATATATATATATACATACATATATACTTAATATAGACCAAAAGTGGTAAATCAAAATTCAAATGTTCTTATATCTCTTATATTCAAAATACTTTCAGATATAATATAACATTTTCGTTCAAAAATCTAAATAACAATGTTCTCAGAACTATCAATAGACTTTATAAACATCATTAACAATTATCACAGATACAGATCGTTCAAATGTCTTTTGAGATTAGTCTTTATTAGGGATAGGCTAACCATCACTAATTTAATATTACTAGCTTATCAGGTACATAGATTTGGTAGCATTGGCATCCGATAACAATATATACAGAACAAGAAATGTTTTTGATCTAATGCATGTAAGCATGGGACTGTATGTACATAATTTATGGATAATTATGAAGTATACGAGTGAATGGTGTGAAATGTGATCGAGTGTGGTCGTATCCGTGCGAGTGTTTATGCATAATTAAAGCAAACATCCCACAAAGCATTTTTTAGAGAATATTCCGGATCGCAACACACTTCGGCGTTAAAATCTCTTGCTTCTCCTGCGGTTGCGGCGAGAATGGCACTCCCACATGGAGCGCCGTCGGCGAGTCACGTGCATTTCCCCGCCTCGCCCTTGAGAACGGCCTCTCGCAAGCCACAGGACAAGGACCCCGAGAAGCTGCCGTGAGTCCTAAAGGGTGCTGATGCCTGGCTGTCACGCCGGTTTCACCAGGATTCTACCACGAGGCTTCTGAAGATCCATCAGTAGCCCTCGCGCTGAAGCTCCTTCAGAAACTTGAGGGCCTTCGGGCCACACTTGTACACCAACTGTCTCTCGGGAACGGGTTTCAAAGCACCGGTTGTGTACTGATACCTAAGGAATACAAATGTAAATGTTAATTCAAAGTTCGATTGAATTCCTGACTGAATGTATATGTGTACAATTGTAGAATACATCAAGTTTTTGTGTGACGTAATTTTATGTTCGCAAGGATGCCTACCTCAGTCCTCGAGCAAAGTTGTCGTAGGAGAGATTGGGTTTGTTCGCCCGCTGTCCCCACATCTGGGCAATGATGACAGGCTTGACGAGTCTGAAAGTCTTCTCGGTCTGGTCTTCCCACCGGATAAGGTCTGGATTGTACTTCTTATCCACAAGCAGACGAATCATGAACTCCCAGTTCTTAGGACCGCGTTCTGAAGGAAAGGAAGCGAAATAACATTTAGAGAGGAAGAAAAGGGAAGAGTTTATACGCCTAGATTTGCTACCAGAAGAAATGCAATGTATCAACTGCGCGTGAAATGTGATATGCAAGTGCCGTAGAGTTCTTACCCCTCTTCCTCGACTTGGTGCGGATCTTGCCAAGGACATCGCCGCTGGGGACACAAAGGGGCTCCGGGGAAGGACACGGGACGTCGATACTTCCGTCGTCGGAAAACTCACTGCAGCTTTCCTCTGTAACGACATTTTCTATTAATTTCAATTCTTGTTAAAGAGCCTCAAGTGGTTACGAAGTACATGTTATTGTGTGCGTGTGTGCCAGGACGCATGCATATTCAATGGGCGTAACACAAACTAAAACAAAACATATATGCAAATAGTTACACGAATACTTAACCTACCTGATTTAATCATGTTGCAGTCCTCTATGACGTATGAGGAGTCACAGTATTCCTTGCGGTCGCTCTCCAGCATGAGTGTGTCCCATGACGAGGCAGGATGGTCTATGTACTGAATAATATCCGTGAGGTCTTCATCCACTTCCACGGCCGACAGGTTACACAGGTCGGGATCGCCCTCAGAAAAGAGAGTGTTCTCTGCTGTGGCAAACATGTCGCTGGTCTCGTGCGTGTAATCCGCTGGTGCTGAAAAGAGCAAGTATAAAAATCACACTGAAATCTATCTTTGAGTCAGGTTGATCGATTTTTTTTTCTCTTCGGGTATTTCGTAAAATCGAACTACATCTTGCGATGCCTTACCTAGTCCCCGTCTCTCTAGCAGCCTCTGAAACTCCTCGTAGAAGGTGGGCCCATATACGGTGTCAAAGTGGCAGAAGTCATATGCAGAGAAGGTCATGAGTTCACTTCCAGACGTCTGTCTAAACGCCGTCAGATTCACGATGTTCCGATCGATTCCCTGACTACGACAGACTTCAATTGCCCAGTCGAGGCAGTCCTGCAAACAAGACGCACACTTATAAGAGGTTGTCTTGCAAAGGCTGTC